TGCGCTCTTTTTCTAGTTTCTCTTTTCTGATGCATTGGCTGTTGCTAATGAGAGGCCCACTCGGTCAGGAAAAATGCAGTTTATATAAACAAAGCAAAGACGTTGAAATCACTTGAAAGAGCAGTAGTATACATCATAAGATCGGAGGGGGGGAAAAATAGACACGGATGGTTGGACCTCATTCAGAAATTTATCATTTCAAAAGAGGTTTCATCTTTTGTTGGTTAACGGTCTATTTCAAAGACACCCCAAGGAAAGCAGCTGGCCACGGTTTCAGAATTGTACTTTTCCTCAATGCCATTCCGGGTATAGCAATAGCCCTTAAACTTAGACACCTCTTTGCAGTGCTTTTATAGCCCTCTCTAAGCAGCCTCTTGCCCCCAACCATCTGGGTCCTCATTTTACCCACCTTGGAAGGATGGAAGGCTGAGTCAACCTTGAGCCGGTCAGGATCGAACTGGGCAGAATTAGCCTGCAATACTGCATTTTAACCATTGCGCCACCACAGTAATCCTCGACTTACAACCAGAGGTTTTGTGACTCTTCAAAGTTACAATGGCACTGGAAAAAGTGACTCACGACCATTTTTCATACTTACGACCTTTGTAGCATCTCCCATGGTCACGTGATCCAAATTGGGCCTCTTGGCGCCCGGCATGTATTTAATGGACGGTTGCACCTTATTGGGGGTCATGAGATCACCATTTCTATCCTTCCCCAGCCGTCTTCCAACAAGGAACATCGGTTGGGGGGAGCCGGATTCGTTTCACGACCCCATGATCCACTTAAGAACTGCGGCGTTTCATTTTACAACTGTGGCCAGAAAAGACCGCAAAAGGGGCCACAACGCACCGAACCACTGTTTTGCTGAGCAATTGAAATTTTGGCGGTCCATCCCTGGTGGTCATAAGTCAAAGACGACCTAGAACCTAGTCCACTAAAGTTCAATCACTCAGTTGGCACCAGATAAGAGTCAGTGTTATTCAGGAGGGTTTGGACCTTTTGTGGGAACGTAATGATTCTAAGCTGCTGATATGCTTAACTCCACCCTCCCAGGCTCTGCTCGCTCTTCTCCTTCAGAATCAGTTTGAACCGATGCCAAACCTGCTTACAAATGGCCATTATCTCTATTCGAACCTTCTGCAACCTTCTCCTCTTCGAAGGGCATCTTTTAAATCAGCCTCTGCTTTGACCACCACCACCCCCAAAGATTTTGCCAATTTTGTTGGAGGAGGCGTGGGGGGAATTGTTGCCTCTTGTTGTTAAGAAGGAAGATTTAAGCCTTCATAAAATCAGCTGCCATTTTTATAGCCCCCAGAAAGAGGCCCTGTGTCTCAATTAAGAACACATAATATAAAGTCTTAAGGAAGCCCCATAATAAGCTTTAATGTGATTATATCCCCGGGCAAAGCATAATTTAAAGGAAACCTGATTCTCTTAATATCTCGTTAACATTATTAGTGGGGGAGGGAAATAAAAACAGGTTAGGAGCCAGTTCCAAATACCGCTGTCCGCCCTAGAATACTGTAGAACGGAACCGGCTCAGGGTCAGTCACCAAAAAGGTTGGGTCAACACACACACACACACTAGCATCGTATCTTCTTGGCTAAACATCCAAGCCAACCACGTAATGGGGTGGGGTGGGGGAACCTCAAGGCTAATTCTTCTTTGATGAACACCGCCAGCCTTGTGATCCGGAGCTGGGCCTGGTTTTGATCAAAGCCCGCCTGTCCTCGGAACCTGACAGCCATCAAAACATCAAGAGAGTTATGTTATGACATCACATCAGGCTTCTCTCCCTTAGATCAGCTCCTTCCCGGCCTCGTGGCGTGCCTGCCAGATGTGCCGAAGTTGCAGCATCTGGGAGGCTCAGCCGGCCCAACGCGAGGACCAAGTCTCGGCCTTCCTCGTGCGGGGCGTTGGGGCTCCCGCCTAGGTTTTTTTAGTGGATGCGGAAACCCCGCGTGGTTTCGTTTCTGGGATAACACACCTTGTAGCAACACCACTCAACAACCCTGCTCCTCCGAGTAGCACGCAGCACCAAAGGAAGCTTCCTTTACCTTTCTCGCACCCAACCTAACTCCGAAAATACTAAACTGATAAACAAGCAACGAGTTACGGAGAAAAACTCCTTTGAACGGCAGGCCCCTTCGAGAGTTGAGCCTTCCCCTTCTCTTCTTCTTCCTCCTCTTCCATCTTCTTCCTTCTACTCCTTTCCCGCTCCTCTTCCTCCCCCTCTTTCTTCTCCTCTTTCTCCTCCTCCTCCTCCTGTTTTCCTCCGTTTTCCTATTCTTCCTCTTCCCTCCTTTCTTTTTCTTCCTCCTCCTCTTCTTCCTTCTATTCCTATTTCCCCTCTTCCTTCATCTCCTCCTCCTCCTCCCCCTTCCTCCATTTTCCTCTCCGTCCTCTTCCCTCTTTCTTTTTCCTCCTCCTTTTTTCCTTTCCTCCTCCTCCTCCTCCTCCTCCAGTCATTTAATTGCCACCCTGGTGGCTCTCGGGCGGGAAGGCTTCCTCTCGATCCCCATTCCATTGTTGTGCTGGGGCTTAACAGGATGTTAACCTGGTAATAGGCGCAGGGCTTTTCCCATTATGAGCCTTGCTATTGAGTGGTTCTGCATGGCTAGTTAAGGAGGAGAGCCGGAAGATTAATGAAAGCTGCCTTAAAGCCAGAGGATGGAGGGGCAACTCCTCTCCGAAGAAGGCATATTAGGACTGCTTCTCCCCCCTTTTATTCCCCCTACACACACACACACACACACACACTTTCCCTCTTACCCTGCAACCTTTGAACCCCGTTCGCTTCAAGAGCTGCCAACGGAACCGACAGTTTGATAGATGCGGCTTCCTGGGCCAGTCTTCTTCCCCATTGAATTCACCCAGGAAAAAAAGAAGAAGGGGGGGTAAAAAAACTGCACACACACACACACAGACACACACACACACAAGGACAACTTTCTCCAGCACGGTTTCGGGCTGTGGGTTGTTTGTGATAGCCTCGCACGAAAAGTCCCTGATGTGGTTCGGTTTGCTTCCGGGTGGGTGGGGGGCGTGTTCCACGCGCGGACATGTGTCTAGCCAAAAAGCTCACCTGGGTTACATTACCCCTGAGTTGTAGTCTGCACAACCGAGGGGTAAATCAGAGTTAAGAGTCGGAGCAGTGGGGCTTAGCTGCGGGACATCGTAATCCTGCGCTTAAATTGGTACGCCGCCCAACCCTTAACAATTCTGGGCGGCTGACTAACAATCAACAGTAAAACCCATAATAATAATAATAATAATAATAATAATAATAATAATAATAATAAT